AATGTTTTCTCGTTCTTCGTATAGTATACATATAGGCTGTTTCAAACTAGCGAACTAATGTATTTTTACTATACGATGACGTAACTACATTCATTCTGTTTTTTTCCACCTATATCGATACAGATGGAAAACAACAGAATGAATGTAGTTACGTCATCGTATAGTAAAAATACATTAGTTCGCTAGTTTGAAACAGCCTATATGTATACTATACGAAGAACGAGAAAACATTCAATGGTATGTTTCGTCACTATTGAATAGTGCATATAAAATGTAATTACACAATTTGAAGATTATTCAAAATAAAGTTAGTCTATACAGAATTTACTTTTGCAGTTTTTCTGCAAAAGTAAATTCTGTCATCTTGGTAGTCTTTCTTTATACATTGTTTAAGTACAGTGATATTTCGCTGCTGTTAAAAATTTACAATTTAAACTTGATTTAGTTTCAAGTACATCCAGAGTTTATCTTTATGTCTGCATGTTCATGTTGATACCAGAGTATATATAGCATTTACTTTTTTCATTACCAAAAAACGTTTCAACATTCATGAAATCAAATAGATTTCGTAGACTGTCAGTACTTCATGATGTTTTGTTTCATTAAATGATCCTTTGGTCTTGCATAGATCCGCAGCCACAAGTCTATGCTACAGGAACCTATCAAAATCGTGCCGGTCGGTTGAAAAATGAAATCACTCTAATAGCCAGTTCGTTTACTTTTACTTTTAAGAAGCACAATATTCTTGATATGATCTAAAATTTCTATTTAGTAATTAGAAAAGTGTGTTACCTCCATTATACACTGCATCATTATGCACTGCACTAGTATGCGCTGCATCATTAAAGGCTTCATCATTATACGCTGCATTATTGTATGCTACACCATTAAATGCTTCACTATTATGCGATGCAGTATTATACACTGCATCATTATGCACTGCACTAATATACGGTGCATCATTAAAGGCTTCACCATTATACGCTGCATCATTATACGTTGTACCACTATACGTTACCTTTGAGATAATGTTGATTGTGTACTCTCTTGTTTCGCTATAGTCAGATCGGCCACATTTTCTGATATACTCGTCACTTGACTTGACAACGACGCGCATAAGATGTGATCCACCGCGCATACTTCGTTCATTGATACTGGGTACAGGTATTTCCAAATCATAAATGCCTATGGTCATTGTACTACGTAGTGGCCATCGATGAGGGACGTGGCTTTCTGATTCATCAAATATTCCATCACCGTTTAGATCAATCAAGACATTGACATCTTGAGCAAGGTTGCAACTGAGTTTAAATGAAGCTCTAGCAGAACGTTCGTCACAATCCAATTGAATACGTATTCGATAAATGGTATTTTCATATAAAGTAACAGCCATGTGGTGCCGATTATGATCCTCTCTAATCACAGTATTGAGTAGTGTATCATCTCGAATATGTGATCCTTGCTCACCAGCCATTAGAACGAGTACGACCTTACCATTGGTTTGAGAACATGCTGAATCGCTTAATGTCAAATACGGGCCGCCAATATCGACTAGAAAAAATAAGAGTTCATAAAGTCAACTATATTGTAAGATATCAACTGAGAAAACTATGTTGCATATCACATAATAAAAACCTTAAAGCGTCGTTAACGATGAGTAAGTTCGTTATGTTTTACCTATCACTAACTATCAAATATTGTTTTAAGCTGTCACAAGTTTTTCTATTTTGCATCAATATCGAACTAGTTTTGAAAATAGATATTTTCGTTTCGATCAAGATTTAATAGAAATATAGTTAAATTTATCTAAGAGTTCCTTAAGTTGAACAAATGATCATAGCATAATGCAATGCATCTATCCTTAGTAATATACACTCACAATTGCGTTTCTCTGTTCAATTCAGCAGAGAACAACAAGAAGAAGCAGTAGTATCAAACCTGAAAGTTGAATTCAATTACAGAAAAACTTTTTCAATTATTCAATTATCCAACTATTCAACAGTTGAATATCAGATATTCAACTATTCAGTCACAATGCAGTGCGTGTGTTTGTGGATGAGAGTCGTATGCGATGAAACTCCTTTCGTGGCACGGACACCGTCGCGGTGGAATTTTTGTGCTTTTATTTGTATCGTTTTCATTGTAGTAGCTTACAGCGAACCTTCACTAGACGCGGCGTCCTGTTTTTGTCTGTATGTATCAGGTATGTTGCTCGTGTAACCACTTTCCAGGCAACCAATACTTGAATAGTAAATATATATTTTTTGGAAGTCATATAGGTTTTCGAAGAAAAACAGTGAGCATAAGTTTTGTGTTAAGATTTTTGACGTCCGTCAGTTCATTCCCCGCTCCTCTCTCGGCTAGACAATATAGCAAAGTGTCCCCTCATAACAACGCCCTCCACCCCCCACCCCCCGCCCTGATTACAGATTTGTAAAACCAGTACGAAATGTGGAATATTTGCAACATGGTTATTTGTGATTTAATTCAATGCATATAATAATCAACAGTAATGAAGAAACAAAAAAGTAGGACAATGAAAAATAGGGCGGCCGTAATGAAAATGCTTCTCTTCGAAATGTACGAATAAAAAAGACAGCATTTTCTGACAACTGATCTCATGACGGAACATCCCTAACTGTCAAATCGCTTTTTTATCGAGTATATACTCAAACGACAGACATCAATGAACTATTACATACTCTACAAGGGTTTAGTTTTCCAGGTCTTCTGAGAAGAGGTATGCGATTATTACTATGACTAATTTTGCTTGTGTTACTGTCCTAATATATTCTATACATTGACTAAATCTGCATCAATCAGGCTCAAATTTAAATCAGTAGTAAGGCAATCACGACTGATTAAGACCCTAGAGTTTGAAGACAAATCATTGTTTCTTATTGAAGATATGAATCTGTTTCGTTTACCAATTGATTATTAAAAAATAGTATGTGCTCTTGCTCAAAGATACAAGTATTGACTTCTTTGATATTTTCAGCACACATTCATTCCATAGTGAGCATGCATTTGGAAATGTTAGCTTATTTGCTGATGGTTTAGTTAATAAAAACTTGAATCATGAATTCATGTACTTTCTTGATGAAACATACGGTACTGATATTCTAAACATAATTTTCCAAAGATGTCGATATCTTGCATATGTATTTCACTGATTCAATTTAAATCGTTTTTTGTCGTTGAATACCTTCTTTGTATAGAATCGTTAATAGTCGAAATCGACAATGAGAGGTAATATGCCTTGATGTAATTGAAAAGAGATTGATATGTAAAGTGAAAGGAGGAGTGTTTGGAGAAGCATATATACGCGCTGAATATATATATGGGCGAAATCAGGCAAAACGGGACATACACTCCATTCATTGTACTGTAATTCTCTATGAGGGCTTTTATTCTGAATAATTTCTTTCTCTGTAGACTCATGTAAAAATATTTAGGGGGAAAAGCAGTCTTGAAGTAGAAAAGTACATCAAAGTACACTAAAGTACATACTTGAAGTAGCTCAAAGTAACCTCAAGTCCAAAAGTCTGCTTTTTCCCTTCTTCAAAAAATATACGCTCTGTCACATGAGTATTAATGTTAATTAATTAATTAAAAAGGAATTAGTGAATATCTGTCTAACAGTTTGAGAAAACAATTTGAAAACCTTAGTATACACTCTACGACTCGAGCTGCATCTATGGTGAAATTTTCAGCGAAATCATACTCCGAAAAATTCATTCCGAAAGATCGATCTCCTAGAGATCTTGTCAAGTGTAGAAACGAAAATTATTGTCTTCTCATATTCTACGGACTCTGGGCAATTATTTGTACTATTTGAAATTGATTCCAAACATTCGATTCGATTATGGGGACATCTTCTCGGTTGTGTATTCGTACAGTGTCACGCCACTAAAGACAAGTTTATGTGTTTTTAGAAAAATTTAGACATGCTCAGAAAAACATTGCATACAGATTTTGTAGTCTGAGACATTGCTCACTAAATATCCAATTTAGTTTTCTAAAATTGTGCATCTATTCAGAGTTTTTTAAACCTAAAATACTTAAAATGAAAGTCAATGTCCTTCTTCGTGTCACTTCGCTAATAGTAGTTTTTTCTACAGATAACTTCTGTGTAATGAAACTTCATAGCTCTGATTTTTTCAGGGTATCTAGAGTAACTTAGCATCCATGTAATATATAAAATTTAGGTGTATGAAGGCTCACTATTCCGAGATATAGATATTTTAATTTTACGAAGTCACGTCGCTAACGAATCATTTTGCCCATATGTATATTGAATCACTATGATTAAATCTACTACTATTACAAATATCATGGTTGTGATTGTTCCTCATGTTTGCTCATTGAGTGTAGTGTACCGTGGCTATATATTATGTATTGAACATTTTCTCAACAACTATCACTTTTCCTCATTAAATGATTCACTCCATTCTCTTTGTTTTGTGGAACACACATTTATTTTCGAAGAGAATAGGGAGTCTAAGTCTGAACTCGAAGTTTTGTGACTCCCCACCCTCCTCCCCATTACGAACACCGCCCCCCCCCCCCATTATAGACCATAGCAACCACTGCATCCCCTTTCTCCCATCATTACAGACAGGCCCATGTTACAGACTATCGCAACCAGTGTCAAGTATGCTAAGGTATCCTAACTTCTGTAGAATATGTGAGTTCCACATTTCAGCTACAAAGAGGTTGCGCTGAAAAGCTTTTTTGTTAATTCCTTTCTGATTTATAAACATGTCACTGAAAATAGATCAGATCATGAAGATTACACGAATTCATGGTTCAAGTTTTTATTAACTAAACCATCAACAAATAAACTAACATTTCCAAATGCATGCTCACTATGAAATGAATGTGTGCTGAAAATATCAGAGAAATCAATATTTATATCTTTGAGCAAGAGCGCATACTATTTTTTAATAATCAATCGGTAAGTGAAACAGATTCATATCTTCGATAAAAAACTAGTCATAGTAATAATCGCATATCTCTTCTCAGAAGACCTGGAAAACTAAACCCTTGTAGAGTATTTAATAGTTCATTGATGTCTATCGTTTTAGCATATACTTGATCAAAAAGTGATGTGATAGTTGAGGATGTTCCCTCGTCAATGGGAAAAAGAACTAATCTTTTCGAGATTCAAGGCTGTTTTCTATCACTATAATGGATCTGAGAAAGACATAAATTCCACATCTCGACCCCACTGAAACTGCGCTGACAAACTTTACTCCAGCTATTCAATAGTTGAATAGCTGAATATCTGAACTTCAACTATACAATAATTGAATTCAACTTCCAGGTTTCACATATATGCCTATTTCTAGGATGAATATTTTTCAGAATATATAATTTTTAGCGCAAAGAGAGATCCTTCTCTGTTTTTGTTATATTTTCCTTTGACCATAAATGGCGAATAGGAACATTTATTAGAGAAAGCAATAGTAAAATGTTCGCTTTGTAAAGATCAACGGTGAGAAATAGACTACTGATAAACTTCTTGGCCAGAAAATATGTATTACTTGCTCTTTGAAAATATGCTAAGGTTTAAGTCTATAGCAATAACATGGTCGGAATGTTTTGTTAGAAATACTAGGTTTTTCCATAAACTCTTGTTGCACTTTCAACATTTCATGTATAAATGATATAGTTAGACATTTTGAAAATACTATCTCTTGATATATAAGCCATCCTTTTTTCCTTCATATTTTAATATTGATCTGCGACGAGCAAAATCGATTAAAAGAACATCTGCTTGAACTCTGTTATATGTTCACAAAGATATTATCAGTTTGTTGATACATCTTTCATTACATCAAACATATGTGAAAAGTTCAAAGGGGAAATGACGAATTTCAAGTACAAGAAAGTACGGCAAAGTTACGTCAAAATTAGCTTAAAGTATAGCAATGTACTTTGAAATTACAGATAAGTAGCGTGAAAAGTACAGAAAAGTACTTTGAAGAAGCTCAAAGTGCTCTGAAGTAGCCCAAATTAGCATCAAGAACGAAGTACGTCGTTTCCCCCTAGGAAAAGCTCTTCAACATAGTATCTTTTCCTTCACCCAATGAAAATCTCAATGGCATATTAACTTCTAAACTCTATTCTGTACTTGAAATATTAAATTTTTTTCCAGAATAAATTTCTAATTGCAGGAGTATTCTCTTGTCAATAATTCTATTCGTAAATAGTTATCCTTGTGACAGCAGCATTCATTGTTCAAAAGTTGAAATCATCATGATACACGAACTAAATTGTTCGTAATATAAATAGGCAAGTCACACTCATAAGTTTTGGTGTTTCTGGTTAGTAGAAGAAAAATAGTTACCTGATTGCTTCATAGTATTTGGAACAATGGTAACACTGTATTCCCGTGTCTCTCTATAAAAATTCTTGCCACATTTTTCACGATACTGTTCATTTAACATTACGTCAAGGCGCAACCGATGTGGTCCACTTTTCATCTTGATTCCATCGATGATGGGTACATATATTTGTAGATCATAGATGCCTTGAGGTACATAGCTGGTGAGCGGCCAGCGATACGGAGCTGCATATTCTGTGTCATCATATTTGCCGTCATTGTTGACATCAATCCAAGCAGCCACATCATGAGGCAGGTTACAGTTATTGTCATTTGAATCGCTAACCTGTGGTCTAGTGCATTCTAATTGTATGCGTAGCAGATAGATAGTATCTTCATAGAGTACAATGGCTAGATGTTGATGATTTCGAGTGTTGTCGATCAATGCAGCTCTTGTTGATTCATCATCCCGAATTTGTGTTCGATGTTCACCAGCCATTACAACAAGAATGATTTTACCAACATCAGGAGAACATGGCACAGTATGTGGCACCATCGAGGTGGGAGTAGCATCGACTGCTGCAAAAAGTCAATTCATAAAACTAATTATCAAGTTCTTATCAAAATGTGAAACATGAATAGCATCTTGTACTGTATGTGGCTTAATATTTTTCTTATGTTACACAATTTATTGAACTTGTAAAGAGTAAATAATAATCGAAACAAATTAGAATTGGCTCACAGTCGCTGAAACACTTATGTATGAGACTATACAAGATTTTATTTGAACGAATAGAATAAAAAACTGCATTCTATACAAAAATGTGTGACGATACAGGTAACATTCTCAAAAGTCTACAAGGAACTGACAGCTAAAATAATGTTAAATTGATATTATTCGAAAGGATTTTACTAGCAACAACCTTAGGTTTTCAGAGGTCTAGAAACCGCCTGTTTGCTAGACATACATCGTGGAAAAATATTTCAATAGAAATCCATTACAGAAACGAGCATCATAGAAAAACATCTAGTGGAGAGTTCTATAGTAATGATTCGTATCGAATAATGAATACTTAGGAACAATTTTTAAGTACTGTAGATCACTGGAAACATCATTATCATTATCATGATCATCTTCTATTTCGTGATTATGCAGAGAAATACAATATAACTCTAGAAAGTTCGACGCATATGTTAACCAATATATTTTCTGTGTCTTCATAATTCGTATCAGTGGGATACCAAGTTTCTCCTCGTTTAACTAGCCAGAGTAGTACAAACAGGGAAAAGTAATGTTGAATTATCAATTACATCGTAAAAGGGTCTCTAAGATTGATTCTCAATGAATCTTAAATTATGAAGTGTACGTCATTTAAGTAAAAATCTA